ACTTGTTTGATGTTGCCGTTGTATATAGGCGACGTCGATGGGTGGCCATCAGGAGATGTATGGCAGTACGTACCTTGTGCGATGGCGCTGGCGGTGTCCGCGGGCGGGTCGAGGCGGCGCGGCAGTGCCTGGCGGGAGCCGCGCGGCCGGCCGCGCCGCGCGCCGCGCGCCCCGCGGGACACGCCCCACGCGCCCGCGCGGACCGCGCCCGGGTACGATGCTGGAATACACACACGAGAATAATTTACTCATCATCTTCTTCAACAGCCGTGGCAGATCGATAAAAGTAAACCTTTAAGCTTTCGAACTCCACGATCGGTTATAAACAACAAACAAAAACTGGAACATCGTTGAAAAAAAAGGATTTTTTTTGTAGTTTGTATTTTTTTTTTAGTACTTTAGTTTGTAGTGCTCGATAGATGAAAATAAGAAAACATTATTAAAAATATTATGATACAATTCCTGGCACACTCCTTTCTAAGAGACAAATATTTTTTCTTTCATCTTAAATTTAGATAGTCACATCGAAAACAGAGTAAAATACAAAAGGAGGTTCTTGTTTTGACCTCCAAGCAATAAATTACTAGATATTTACAAAAACTTCATTTTCGTGACCATGATAATTTTTAATTTAGTGGGTCTTTATTATGTCTGATATAATCAGTTACTCCAATAAAACAAAATGAACTATATTAACTAAAAATCGCGAGTTACACACATGCAAATAATGAGAGAGAGAGACAGTAGGCTGCGCAACATCGCCGCGACCGCGCACGCTGCTCATAAGGAAGAACACGATAGTTATTATAAAAACAAGTATGTCACTCACGTATAGGTGCGGGCGATGGTACGTCAACGATGAGTTTGTCACCATCGTCGTCCACTTGCAGCGGACTGCCGGGCTCCGACGCTGAGTCGCGGGCACGCTTCGCTTCTACAGACACCGACGGTTGTTGCTGCTAGTAAAACAATTATTTATTATTACACTAATTGATATTATACCCAGAGACCTAGTTTGCGTCCATCCCTGATCCGTAAATCCCCAAATCCAAATCCCTTGAACCCCAGACCCTTTCCCCTAACTACAGATCCAATCCCTAAAACCCCAGATCTAGTCCAAAAATCACCAAAAGGCCGGCAACTCCTCTTAATGTTGCGGGTAGTGCTGATTAGTGCTTACCATCAGGTGGTCCGTTTTCTTGTTTACGTATATCATAATAAAATAAGGAATTTATATCGGCTTATGAATACTTACAACTTGCGGCAATAATCCCAATTTTCTTTTACGTTCTCTCTCCTCCATCATTTTCTTCTCTTCTGATTTTTGGCGATCTGTCAAGAATGTCATTTTCAATTAATTTGTTATAATAATATAAATTAAGTAGTTAAATTTAAAATGTTTAACTTGCGCAAAAACTTGCACTTGCTGTAATGTTTTGCGCAATACTTTATACTGTTTGCGCATGCCAAGGTTTTGCAGGTAACAGATATGTTAGTTTAGTTTTTTACTTACATTTGAGTTCAATTTCTTCATCGTCTAGAAGCAGAGACACGACTTCTTTAGGTTTCAACGTATCTGGTTTGAAGTTTCCTCCGCTGATTACCATTCTTTGGATCTATAAAAAACAATAAGCAATTTACTTATTTAAATGTTCAACACCAGTTTTTCCTATACGAAACATACTGTAATAGCAATAGTGTCAGGTGCAGAGTATTTCCAATCTAGGGTATTCTTCTCTGTCGTTTCGCTCTTGAGCGGTCGTGGTCACGTTAGGGCGGCCGTATTCGTTTTGGTGGCCGATACAGCTTTCCTCACAATCTCCCGCTATCTCTCTCTGTTTGTGGATTGTCTGGCGCAGTCTGACACTGGGTTTCCCGTTGCCGATTTGACTTAGTCAGTCCAGCGCATAGGTGACCTACCTCGTGATCTGGTTCCCTCTACTTTATCTAGGGTATAGAAAAAAGTATTTACCTCACTCTTTTCCCTAGCCCGTTGCATGATCCTTTCTTCAATCGTCCCCTTACATATAAGTCTGTAGACGGTGACCTGCTTGGTCTGTCCCAGTCTGTGTGCCCTGTCCATGGCCTGTTGGTCTACAGTGGGGTTCCAGTCGGAGTCGTAGAAGATGACAGTGTCTGCCGCCGTCAGATTAATGCCCAAGCCACCAGCGCGCGTTGATAGGAGAAACACGAATATGTCTGTGCGAGCCTGAGAGGAAAAATAAATTGAACTTAATTTTAATGTTCATAGGGTAGATTTTCGCGCATCTTAAATTATTTTTAGGACTCATTGTATGTCTGGCACAGGACTTTCAGGGTTGAATATGTACATTTTTATGTTCTTGTCGATCAATCGGAATTGGATTAAGATCAAGAGTAAGCTCGTTGTTTTAGTAGACTTACCTGAAAATCTGCAACCATGTCCCGCCGAGCTGAAATCTTGCTAGATCCATCTAACCTCATGTATTTGTGTTTTCTGTGCCACATGTATTCCTGAAATAAATAACAATATGAACAACTAGCTGTAGCATACATTCAACCTGATTGCACGCTTAGCGTGGCAGGGCAACTGGCTACCGCACAACGTGTCGCGGGTTCGATTCCCGCACGGAACAACTTTTAGTGTGATCCACAAATTGTTGTTCTGGATCTGGGTGTCATGTGTATGTGAACTTATATGATAATAAACGCACCCATGACACAGAAGAAAATAAAGGGCAACGTTTAAAAAAAATCTCTTACTTATTCTTTTATTTTACATTTTATATCCAAAATTTATGTAACTACAAACTGGCGTTAATCTGACAAAAGTAACGCATATCTGTAATAGAATCCGTTCAATTTGCTCGTCAGGCGTAAGGATTATGGCCAACGGCCCTTATGATATAGTCCAGCATAGGACTATCACGGCCATATATGACGATGTAGTTGACGACTTTTGTTCGTAACTGAATATCCTCATTTCTAATTCGATCTCGCAAAGAAACACAATATAATTAAAGCAGTACATACCTCTAACAAGTCGATCATCTTGGTCATCTGACTGTATATGAGCACTCTGTGTCCTCGCTCCTTCAGCCTCTTCAGCAAAGAGTCCAAAGCTGTCAGTTTCCCTGCGTCACTCACTAGCTGGTTTTTATCTATAAACAAATAAATATTAAAAAAAGATGTAAAAGTAATAGATATATTGTGCACTGCAACCTAACCTTCATCGGTCATAGGTTAAAACTCCACTGCCACCGTAAGACTACTATCGGTTGCGCTGCAGCGCTTATATACACACATGCACACGCATATTTATATCTGTGTGTGTACGCGTGCGTGTTTATGCATACGCACGCGTTTTTATGCACATTAATATAAAATTACTTACGCATTGCCGTGTGAACATCACTCACGGTGGCAGGGAACTTTTGACCTTCGACTTTACCTAATGTTATTACATTTTATATCAGTCAGCTATATTAACCAATTCGAATTAATCCAGAACTAAATATTATTCAGACTGCCTTAATGGCCGAGTGGTCGCAAGTGCGACTGCTGGGCAAGGGGTCTCGGGTTCGATTCCCGGGTCGGGCAAAGCATAACTGGGTTTTTAAAAAAAAATCTCAGTAGTGGCACGGAATCTGGAAACGTGCCCGGTATATGGCAATAGGCTCACCCCCTATTACATGAGACTCATAACATAAATAATGAAAAGAGGGTGTTACTTCTGTGTGCACCTCTGCCTAACCCTTCGGGGATAAAAGGCGTGATGTTATGTGTAAATATTATTCAATTAGAAGTGCACAACATTACTTTCTACTAACTATTCTAGTGCGCTTGCACCCTCGGGTCCTATTGATCGTAGCGTGATGTTTTATAGACTTTATATCCCTATAGTACTACCGGTACTGGAGATTAATGCGTTCAACTAAACAAACAAAGATATTTTTAGCATTTATTATTGTACAGCCGATTTCAATAAAAACGATTTGAATTCAAAAACTCTAATTAGATTTTTTGACAAAAATTTTATAGATCTAACGTAAAAACATTTTTTTTTTTTGACTTCTTGAAATTGGTACGTATTGTTTTTATTTTTTGAAGTTGAATTAGTATAGAAAAACATTGTACATACCAGGCACCTGTAGGTCTGCCCACCCCTGCGGCGGCCTGGCCCGGCCCAGCAGAGTCCAGACGGTGTCCCAGCCCGCGCCGCTCTCGCACTGCGCGTGGCGAGTGGAGTGGTACGCGAAACTACGAGACACCGCGAACGACTGCCGCGTACACGTGCAAACCTGGACATAATAGACAATGTTAAAATACGCATTTTTAACTTCAAATAGCTTTTAAACTTGCAAAAACAAACACATTATAACTGGGTTTTATTAAGAAAATTCAATAGTAGCTCGGAGTCTGGAATTGTGACCAATATATGGCAATGGACTCCCCCCTATTACATGGGACTCGTAACATAAATAGTGAAAAGTGGGTGTTACATTGTACAGTAGCATTAAGTATCGTCATGTGCACGTCTGCCTACCCTTTCGGGGATAAAAGGCGCGATGTTATTATGATGAGCTTTTAAACATCCTCTGCTTTATAGGAAACGTGACAATGCTTGTGTTGTGAAACTTCATTCATATATGAGGATTCACAACGCATTTTAAAATAGCATTCAAAGTACGGAATAAGAAGCCAAACTCAATACCATTTAGTTCATTCAATATCCACGCAACATGAGCGCTAGTGTTGCAAATCAAGAGTACGGAATTTCACAATATCAATGTCGATCGATCGGAATTGGATTCAAGAGTAAGCCCCTGACCCGTTTGCCCCAGCTTCAACAGTTTTGCCGTTTTTTATCAAACATACACTCAAACTGTCGAATTTATTATATTAGTAAGATAGTAAGCTACTTATCACAATCTTACCTTTTGTTGAGCAAAGTAGAGGAAGCCGGGTAGTGGTGTAGGCATGTCTACGTACGATACAGGCGAGCGCTCTACAAACTGTACGTCCGGTACTTCAAGCTGGGGCACCGCCATCACACCGCCCTCTTCAGTCTTAATTTCACTTAACATATCCGTCTGTAAGACAATAAAGTTTATTTCTATAATAACTATCGTGAGACTTAATAATGCACCCCAACTTTACCCGATATCGCCGTTTATATTAAAAAGGTTTTATAAATGGTTAAATGATGCAGTGCTCGGCGACCGTGTGTCGGGGTGCCCAAAAAGGTAGCTTGTCGTGACTTCGTTTAGGCACAAGTAGTATTCGGGGGTTAGTTTAGGTAACTTTCAGTTAAGAGATGAGAGAGGTTGGTGATAAAGGTCATCAATGAATTAAAAATAACGATTGCGCATTAGCCATTATTTTAACTTGATATAGTATTAAAGTTTTGTTAAAAAATCCTGATGTATCTGCGCAAAAGTTTGTTATCTTTGCGCAAGTTGTTGCGCAAACAATTTGATACATGCTATACGGATTTAATACAAGTTTTTTTAGATATTATACAGCAATTAATAGAATAAAAAAACTTAAAGAACAAAGACAACAAAAAGCGCTTACCTGTCGACTGTCTCTTAAATTCCTTATCCTCATTGCTTTGTGCTCTATAGTTTCAGGCACATAATGAATTACATGTTCCGTGTGCGTGTAGAATGGACCACCTGGAATCAAAAACTGACATTATCAACCGGAAAATGTCCACTAGGTAAGAAAACTATTTTTATTTAAAGGTCATTGAAACATGCTTCAACAGATTCAGAAACCATTCTCCTAGGACACTTAGTAGGTGGAAAGAGCTGTCGTCGAAAGTGATGCATATAAAAGGTTCTGTCGGCGAAATGTCCACAGGTGAAAGATCCTGTTGGGGAAACGTAAATAAATAAATCGTCCTGTCGACGAACAGTCCAGTGAAGAATCGGTCGTAGGAGAACGGAGGCTGAATCGCTTCAACGTAAACGGGCCAGATCGAAGTAATACCAGCGATACTTATGAGTATTAATAGCTTCTAAAGCCGATTGCAAAAATGTGTAGGATTATCTACGAACATCTACAACATAATAACGACTATTCAGAAGTCTAAAAAATCAAGCAGTGTGTCTAACCAAAAGGCTGTAGTATAACTTATTGTTGCTTCCATGTAAAGCAGCAAAAAACTGTGAAAATAAAGAAATAAAGTTGATATACGAATAAAAAATAAACTCACCTTGTATCCACAAGGGATCAGTAAACAGTAAATCATTCCACAACAAACTATCTTCCTTTCTCTTTCTCAAAACGTCACCGTCTGGACATATAAGAAGCATATGTTTCTTATTCACTCTATCCCAGTAGTCATTACATAGGTCTGTCTCACTCTCTTCCTGCTTCAAATCTGACACAAGCGAAGAACTCCACCAAGAGTGACGATGACGTAATTTCTCATATCTCTCTAAACAATTTTCGATATGCTGCATCCTACAATAATAAGTTAACATCAATGCGCACCGATTTTATCGCTTAAAGCTAACAAATTACAGAGACAAAATCTTTTTATGGAATAGGAGGCAAACGAGTAGACGGATCACCAGATTGAAGCGATCAGCGCCGCCCATGGACACCCGTAACACCAGCGGCTTTTAAAAAGGAAAACGTTTCTTGAAGGTTTGAAGGTCGTATCGTTTCGGAAATAAAGATCAGACAAAAAGGTTTTTTTTTTTTAAACTGTCAAATACCAAGCGGTCACCGGTGACCGCAACCTATTGTTCTATAATTGTGTCTGCAAAACCGGTACTCGACGAGTTAAGGGGGGAAAATCATCGAATGACTGCTCCCGCCTGGGTGAGGCGGGAGGGAGTGTCAGACTCTTACTGACTAAAAACCACCCCGTTCCTTCTCCTGCACGTCGAGCCGGAGCCCCGGTTACCCGTTAGGTTCTCCGCGACAGACAAAAAGGTTTACGTTCACGATTCATAAAGGAACCCTTTATTTCTCTGAACAACAGTTGGGACTGGGGATGATGGGACTACCTATCCATAAATCATGAAACAATGACGTAAGCATATCATGTTTAAAAGTTATATAAATCCAAATTATTAGTTACGTTACAATACTCACGCAAACAGCCATCCGCAGAGCATAATCCTGTACAACTCCATAGGAGATAGATCAATGAACCTCATAAACGCGAAGCACCCATCATCATACTCCTCTTTACTCCCAAACTCCCCGTTATTACTCCTTTGAATATACTCCGGTACAAGGATTGACAATTTGTTGTATATAAGATGGCGATTGGAAGGAGTAGATCGAATTAAAATACAATCCTCGGCTACTAATTTCGGTATATGATAGTCGTCGACTTGCATTGAGAAAGGAGATCTGACGTCACGACGCTCAAATAGCTCGGGGTGATTGCATACCTGCGCAAAAATAGAGTATTATAAACATATATAGGTACTATACATCATCATCAACAAGCTTTAGGTGTCCACAGCTGAACAAAGGCAGGACTCTTCTCACATGGAGAAAGATTAAACATAAATCACTATGCTTGCTCAAGGCAGATTGGCGAATTCAAACTTCTAATTAGATATTATAAGCCAAGCCCAGGTTCCCTCACGATGTTTTGCTTTACCCAGTGGTGTCTGAATAATGTTATGAATAGTCATAACACTAACAGCTGATTTGTTAAATGTCTTCTATAATGTAATAATATAGTTTGTAGATTAAAAATGATTATAGGATAAATATAATGCATTGTTGTTGAACTTACCTTTCTAAACTGCATAACTAAATTCATTAGATTAGATGTAAAATTCTTATCTACATTGTGACCTGACTCCGCTCCTACTGAATAATGCAACAGTTCTTCTATTTTTATTTTCTTTTTTAAAGCTGAAACAAAAACGACATTTACTACATGTGTCTTGATAGCCGGTATGTACCACATAACATAACATAACATCACGCCTTTTATCCCCGAAGGGGTACGCAGAGGTGCACATTATGCCACTGTACAATGTAACACCCACTTTTCACTATTTATGTTATGAGTCCCATGTAATAGGGGGTGAGCCTATTGCCATATACCGGGCACATTTCCAGACTCCGTGCTACTACTGAAATTTTTTTTTTTTAAATACCCCTGTAATACTTTGCCCGACCCGGGAATCGAACCCGAGACCCCTTGCCCGGCAGTCGCACTTGCGACCACTCGGCCAACGAGGCAGCCGGTATGTACCATATACAGAAATAAAAACCAAATTAAGAACAATCTGACATAGGTTTATCTGGTACTTATATGACGGTAGATACAGATTACTAAAGCTATTTATTCGTAACGATATTGTTCTGAGGCCTTAGTACGAGTTTGATTTACGTTTAAAGTATTCGAAACGAGTATGCGTCCGGCACTCTGATTGGCCGGCGCCAATAAACCAAACCAATACTAAGGCCTCTGAAAATAGTATAAATGAGTGAGTACGGCGGTTAGTATTAACCTATTACGAACTTACCTATATACAATAATTTCTGTCTAATAGTTAACGGGCAATGCACCATAATCTCAATTTTATCTGACAGCTCATTTTCAACATCTTTCTTTATTCTTCTCAACATAAACGGCTTTAGGATCATGTGTAGTCGCGATAAATGCTCTGAAAAATAATAATTAAATGTTATAGCTTGTTAAAAAGTACAATATTAAACAATTTAAACTATGAACATATCAGAGAATAAGCGCAGCGGTAGCGCATCGTTGCGCTTGTTGCGCAAACACTAATATTATTATTTTAATGAAGTCGATAGATTATATGTAGGTAGAGGTTACAGACTACAGACAATATACTAAAAACATTATTATGAATAAACTTACTCTCGTCAATCGTGCTCTTGTTCTCAGCATGACTTTCAATATCCTTAGAGAACCATTCATTAAACTCTTCATGCGAATCAAACAGTGTCGGCATTATAAAGTGCAACAGAGCCCATAATTCCGCCATACTATTTTGGATGGGTGTTCCTGTAGAAAACGAAAACTTTAAAACGAGATAAATATTAGGGTATATTAGAAGGCAACTTTAGTTAAATTAAAAAAAACTAATGAAGTATTCTTAAAAAATAGCTTGAAATAACAAAATTAAATAACCATTATTTAATATTTATTTTAACTATCGGCATCCGCATACCTTACAGTTTAAAAGTGCCATTCTGGTTGGATTGAAATAAATGATTTTGACTTTTGACTTGGCTTTGACTTTGACTTACAGACCCATTATTGTAGACAATATAATATATATATAATATGAACAATATTTTTATGGAACAATTTGGGTATCCTAACGAGTGGTCGGATCACCTGATGGTAAGCAATCGATATATGTTTTAGGTTGCCAGTGCAGTGTGTTGCTAGGATTTAAGATTTGAGAATTGGAGATTAGCGACGTGGGGGGGGGAGAATTTGTCATTTAGACAACTGAAAAAAGCACTTACCGGAAAGTAATAACCGATTTCTACAGCTAAACCCAAGTAGCAATTTCCAGCGCATACTGGCCGAGCTTTTGATGGCCTGAGCCTCGTCTAGTATCATGTACTGCCAAGAGACTCGGTTCAAGTACTTCAGGTCAGAGACCACGATTTGGTATGACGTCACAACTACGTGGAAGGCCGCTTGACGAGTGTGAAGATCTTTGCGTTCCCAAAACTGACGAAGAATCTTACGTTCGCTTGGACTGCCCCAGTATGGTACCTAGAAATTGAGTGTGGGTAATTCTGTGGTCAGTTCGAAAGATGAGGTGTATTATTATCATTTCTTTGTTTAATAGAGTGATCTTCTACAATATATTAATATTATTAAACTATTTGAATTGAATGCACAATGAAGTATATCTCATCCGAGGTTATTAGAGAATAATTTACTTGCAAAATCTTCAATCAAGTATGACAATTTATATTTGATCAAAGTGTAAAATACAAAACATATCTTAAATCACTGACCTCAGGGTTCAAATTCGCACAATTAAAACAGAACACTTACCACTTTGAAATCAGGTACAAATCTCTGCATCTCTTGTTGCCAGTTGTGAAGGGTTGATGCTGGAGACACGACGAGGAATGGACCCCATACTCCCAACCTCTCAGCCACGTGGCAGAGGAATGCTATGCACTGCACTGTCTTTCCTAGACCCATTTCATCCGCTAAAATTCCACTTATGCCCTAAAAATAAGACGATATCACAATTTAATAACTTTAATAGTTTAATTTACCAAACATTTATAGTTGAATAGAAGTGCCTCGTTGGCCACTTGTTTGCGACTGCCGGGCAAAGGGTCTCGGGTTCGATTCCCAGGTTGGGCAAAGTATTACTGGGATTTAAAAAAAAATGCCGCAATTCACGACATCATTATCATGATGTCGTGAATTGCGCCCGGTATATGGCAATAGGCTCATATTGTATATATATATTACATGGGACTCATAACATAAATAATGAAAAGTGGGTGTTACATTGTACAGTGGTATACCGAAATGTGCACCTATGCTTACCCGTTCAGGGATAAAAGTAGTGTTTAGTGCCTAGTTTATTACCGATTGGATTGCGTTAACGTTCTATGATTTTTATAGACACTAGGCACTCAATAATGGGGACTACTTATTTTATTGTTGCTCACCAGGTGGCTCTAGTCTAGCGTGAACCTCTCGTTTTTCATCCAATAGAGAATTAGATGGTGTCACACTATTGAACATTCATCATATTTGACAACAGCAGTTGCCCCCATTAGACTATATACATAGATATCATCAACACACACATACCTGATCATATAAATTAGCGAGCCAGTTCATGCCCTTAAGTTGGTATCCCTTGAGCGTCCCCCTGAATATAGAGGGTTGTTCATGGTCGCCACTACGTCGGCCCTGTGCGTCAGTGCCGTCGGCGCCGCCGTCCGTGTCGGTCGCGTCGCCGGCGCCGGCCGCTGAGTCGAACAGTTGCGTACGAGCGCGCTCCGCACGGAAAGCTTCGCGAGCGTTTCGTGAAGCTCGAGCTTTCATTGCTTCACTGTCGAAAAATTATTAGAATGTATTAGTAGTTTCTAGAATAATCTCTTTCTTTCTCTAATTCATTAGTGGAGTGGCCGCCACTGCCAAGTAAGTAGGGTCAGATGTGTCTTCAATTTTCGAACTCTTTAGTATTAGTATGTAGTCCAGAAATGCCCTAGTGTAAGGTAATAAGTGCACTCTCCATAACATAGAATTCATTACTAATATAAAGTGGATGAGAACATGATGATATTAGGGGACTGAAATGGGATTCACCGCTGAAGAGAGTAATATTTATTGTAAGTTTATCTTCCATTTTCTTTTTTTAAGTTGAAGGCAATAAATCAAAGTCTCACCTATCATAATGATCTATAGCAGCTAGTCTAGGGTCTCTGTCTTCATCGAGCTGCCGTAGTATCCTGTCGGCTCCGCAGTCTCCATCATCACCAGAGTTCATCTTCTTCTGCATAAAATGCGCGTACAACTCCGTTTGTGTGATCAAGAAGTTCAGCTTACGTCGTTGCCGCTTCGCTTCCATTAGTTCTACATCCATCTGGGGTGAAAGTAGCGAAACTTCAGTTAATCAATCATACACTGATACAGTACAGGGGTCTTGCGAGGTACCCACATCCACCAACTTAACCATAAATATTATGGTCTGCCTGTCCTGGCGTCGGTCAGACGAATTATAGTCTTTGATTACGTAGTTTTATATCAATGAAAAAAGGATCAATAGTTTCGGAATCTATAGGAGTGTAAACACGAAAACAAATCCAATCCTTACTAATATTATAAATCTGAAAGTGAGTTTGTTTGTTCCGCTTTCATGCCGTAACTACTAAACCGATTGCTTTGAATTTTTGCAGACGTAAAGTTAGAAGTCTGGATTAAATAATAGGGTACTTTTTATCCCGGAAATATTTGATATTCTCGAGGGAAAACGAAATTATTGGTATAGATAGAGCGAAGCCGCGGGTAAAAACTAGTCATCTTTATAGTCGCGGAGAACCTAACGGGTAACCGGGGCTCCGGCTCGACGTGCAGGAGAAGGAACGGGGTGGTTTTTAGTCAGTAAGAGTCTGACACTCCCTCCCGCCTCACCCAGACGGGAGCAGTCATTCGATGATTTTTCCCCGCTTAAAAAAAGTTTGGAGTATATAACCCATTGCCATTGCATCTTTTATAAAAAACATTTGAATTTTAAGGCAAAATGTATAAGATAATGAGAACAAAATATTTTTTTTATTAATCATAGTACTTTTAGTACTTATTTATTTCGTGTAATATATCTAGTCCTAACCAGGAATACATACATGAGTTAGGGTTAGGGTTTGACAAATATTAGTACTATTCTAGACTGCAACCAAGTTGTCAAAGGAGGACCAAATGAATTAAAATTATGTAATGACTAGCTGACCCGGCCAACTTCGTACCGCCTTAAATAATTTCTCATCTTTTAAACTCTCCCTGGACTTCCACGAACATTTCAAGACAAAATTTAACCAAATCGGTTCAGCCGTTCTCGAGTTTTAGCGAGACAAACGAACGGAGTTTCTTGCTCGTTCTTCTCCATTCGAATCTACATTTTGGAATGAGCACTTAGCTTCACTGACGGACTGACTGACAGACTATTATTTATTTTGTATTCGTTGACTTTTCAAAATTACCAAATTATGGTTTAATTGAAATAAATGCTTTGACTTTGACGGAAATTCATTTTTAATTATATTTAAATTACCTTTCTCTGTTCCTCTGCCTCTCTCTCCATGCGCCGTCTCGTCTCCCTCTCAGCACGATCATATCGCCTCCAGTATGCTTGCATTTCTCTACTCAACCGCTTGCATCGCCAAACTGTTTCCTTCATATTTTTTTGAGACTGTAAAACAAAAATAAATGATTAAAAGTGGATTTTGAGTCTTATTCTACCCGGTTTTAAACCTATCCTCGAACATATAGTCACATACTAACTTAACACATTACCTGCATGGCAATATGTCGCCAATGCTTGCAACATAAGGTCGCAAGTCGCTTTCTTTGCAACATAACTTCTCTGTGGGTGGCTGTGCGTGCTCTCTGAACCTTTCCGAGTTCTTTTTTTACTAGTAACAGCCAGTGACGTCGTCTGCGAGCCGTTAGGGCTTCTGGACTCTTTAAAGTTGACAGTTTTTTGCGACCTCTGTAAACAAAAATTATAATATAAAATAGATGATGTTGCGCAAAACGTTTAAACGCATTGCGCAAACTATGTGGATTTGCGCAAGTAACGATGTATTTAATCAAATAAACCGCTTTATGTACTTTTTGTATAAAACTATAACATATTTTACTTTATACCAGTACAACAGTCACTAACCTGACTCCAGGCTTATCTGTGGACATTGTGTACTCGTCATTGTCAGGTTCTTCCTTCAGACTACGCAGTTGGTCTTCCCAATCCACACCGTCCGGCTAAAAAAAAAGATAAAGTCCATATACACTTATTTCTTAATTCATGAAACTTTTAATTCATGAATTGAGTGATACAAAATAAATTATTATGTTAAAATATCTCTAAAATTGAATATTAACCATGAACAGTAAAGACATAGTACTGAATTAATTTTGTCCCTTTTTGTATATGAATGCTATTCCCACATACCATATCTCCACTCTCATTCATCCGCGCATCTCTAACCCTTCCTCGTCTAGCTTTGTGTAGTCCCCTAGTTGAGGATCCTCGCTCCGCAGGCCTACCCCTGCGCCCTCTCGTGGAAGGGGGAGGCGGTACTGGTCGACTGATACGACGCTCTGGATAGCGATCCACGGTGGATAGTAGACCGGCGCCATAGTACATGTAGCGAGAATTCTGCGGATGATAATATAGATTTATACATCAATATGTACAAAATCAACAGTCTGGTATACAATGAGTCACCTCAACACATAATGTTACAATATTGAGGGATATAATAAATTAATGTATGTTTCGTCCCTCCATGAATCCAGAATGACTGGAATGTGGGCATGGAATAATATTACTAAATACTTATTTTAGTTCAATAGGTAAAGTCATAACAGGGGGCTTATTCTTAAATCCAATTGGGTAGTTTCCAGGGTATCAAAATTAAAAATCTAATTAGTCCGTCAGTTAGATAATGAAAAAATATAAGACACGTATATTTTTATTTTCTCGTATTAAGTTGTAATACTTAGATAAAATGGTGCTAAGTTTAGAAGTGCGAGGTCGTTACGTCATAACGTGCTATAAAATATGGCACGCTGTGACGTGACACGATGTTTTAAATTAATATATCGTCGAAAGTATTTAATTTTGTGAGAAAAGAAAAAATACGTGTGTAAAGTTTTAAATTAATGTGCCAGGCAGACATTAAACTAAAATTTAGGAAACAACCCTATTCTGATCAATCAACATTGGTATTGCGATGTTTCATACTATTGAGTTACAAGACTATCTGTAATTATGTACAACAAACCCTATACCTGAGAAATGGTTTCTATTTATAAAATGCACAGAGATCTTGACATCAATTGTGTAGATAATATTATTCACTATTAAATTGATAACCTATTATATCACTATGTTTTAGTAAAAGGAAGAAAAGTTTTAGTAGATGTTACATTTTAATGTTGCAAACATGAAAATATGCTCTCTTGAATTCATACAATTATGTATGGTTGAAACTCGACAAATACACATACATACATAACCTCATGTCTCCCATGGGGATAGGCAGCGACTATGGATTGCCAATTGCTACAAATACTCATTCTGATTGAAAGCAGCATGTCTCAGCAACAAGGGATAGGGGAGACTAGGGCTGAGCTCTCACAGCTCGCTAACCAATGAGTGAGACTGCCCAACAAATTGGGCACGGATAGACTAGTGTTATACTATATTTTTATCAAGTGGTGTAGGCAAAGAGGCAATAAAACAAAACTATTTTCAAACAACTTCAAAAAAGGAGGTTATCAATTCGACCTGTATGTATTTAATATTTCCAAAACTGCCCAGTTTTTACTACTTATATACATATATTGTCAATTTAAAATAACATTAGATTTAATGTAGTTAGTAAGTTTAAACTCACCCCTTGATCCTTATAATATCTCTTCGCATATCTATTATGATACTTCCTCTCTTTCAATAACCTCCGTATTCTCATGTCTTTACTGTTTGGCGAGTCTTCATCACTGCTAGTCTCTGAACCTGATGATAGTAGGACATCTCTGAGCCATTCTCTCTCCTCTCCAACTGAACTGAAGTTGTAAAGTCTGAGCCGGTCACTTTGGCGTTCTGAAATAATGTAAATTAGTTCTATTGTTACAACTTTCATAGGACATACTAAAATAGTTTGCAACTAGTTGAGTACCTCGGCAGACAGTTATGCAAGCTAAAGAACGTAATAATTAATGTAATTTAGTGTACAACTCCTTATTTAGCATAGTAGCATCTAGTTTCTAGAATGTCAATGTGTATAATATATTTGTACAGTCATGGTGTATGGAGGTAAATGTAAACAAAATATTTCAAATGAGTATCAGTAGTATTCTAAAACCTTAAACTGGAGTAGTTTAACTGAAAATTTATATAAGAAGTTGAACACTTGATGTAAGAGGTTGTGTTGTTGAGTTATAGATTTCAAAAGCATGTATAAATGTTAATCAAAAGTTATGAGATAAGAATGTGTGAAACCAGCTTGGCAATGCTTGCTGGCTAATTCATATTGAACTAAATTGGTATTTCCATATTATTCTAAACTAAACAAAAGGCTATATAATGATATCAGGTGGTATTGATGGCTCACCCTGCTTTGTTGTCACCACCCCATGAATCATACGGTCGCCCTTTGACATCTCATTTCCAAAGGATTTGGCATCGGAGTCGTCGTCGCTGTCAGAGGCCACATCAGAGTTGAGGATGCTCTCCACTTGACCCACGAATGGGCGCACATCCAAGGCGGCCTCCAGCCTCTGAATGTGAACAGGCCTGGCAACCTCATGTCGTTTCAAAACAGTTTTCCCCACCAACTTCTCAGACATTGTTACGAATCCTGAAAATAAATCCCGAATCTATGTACCAAATCGTGTGATGAGTAAGCGCACATAAATAAAACATATCGCATTTTTCGCTGGCAAAAAGAAACAAAACAGCAACGAATAAACGATAAAAGCAACCACACTGCGGCTATCACACACGAATCGCGAATATATCGAATAACATTTCATACTCGAAGGGCACTCGGCCCGAAGTTGTACTTACACGAATTAAATTTCCTTGCGTTGATTACTTAACACAAAATTCCATAGCATTCACAAAATGGCGCACGAGAATATTCGACAAATCGCTGTCAATGTCGCCGCCCGAGCGGCGCAAATAACTACTCATTTCGTATTTGAGCTTGAAAAAACACGAACCCGCCATAATTGAGGAAGTTGAACAACTAACTGAAGTACTTTCCTGGTATGCTATTGGTTAAAATGGTACAGTGTCAGTTTTTAGCCAATGAAAAATTCCAAACAATGCATTACACCCAATAGCTTAGTTACATTTTAGTGATAGTTGCAATTTGTAATTGAAAACAAAAGTCTTTTGAATATGACTGTCAAGTTTAGTTGCGTTCGTAAACAAAGTTTTATAATTTTATTTTGGATTCAAAGTAAATAGAAAGCGATATTTTATTCTCAATTCTTTAATCTATTTATGAAAAATAATCCTTTTGAGATAGCACAGTTAGATAGTTGAAAAAAACTTACATACATAATATCACGCCTTTAATTTATCCGCGGAGAGGTAGGCAGATAATCTCACTGTATAATGTAACACCCACTTTTCACTATTTATGTTATCAGTCTCATGTAATAGGGGGTGAGCCTATTCAATATTCCGGGCACCATTCCAGACTCCGTGCTACTACTGATAATAAAAAAAACCCAGTAATATTTTGCCCGACCCGGGAATCGAACCCAAAAAAACTTTTTACATATTATTAGGAAATGAAGTAATAAACCATTAGAATAAACAAATAGACAACTCGGATGAAAGTTAAATAAAAATGATTGTGTGAAATTAGATTTAGATGGCGTTAAAAAACTTAAAGGCTCGTATACTGTCGCCTTACTTACACCTTATGTTAGTAATAAAGTTGGGTAGTCTACTCAACTTTATAAGTAACGGTATGATATTATTACAAAATCAAGTACCTAATACAGACCCGGTGGCTGTGTCGTGCACGATCACGAGCAATCAGTTCAGATTGAACATGTCCTGAAGCAGTTTTCTTCCCCACAGATAAGAGAATTTTAAAAGCAACCGATGTAAAAATCTATTGGATGAAGAAAGTTGGGTGGCCCAGCTACAAAGCCAACTACAACAACTACTACTACTACTACTATATATACATTAATTTTTACGTTGTTATACAAACTATGGATTAATTAACGTTGAAGAAGACAAAAATATATGTTAAGAACAAATGAAATGACTGCGAATTTAGTTTTACACCATTTTTTAATATTCTCGCATATTCTTTAAACTTTATTTAAGTTTAAAACTGTCTATTATTTATAGTTAGTACAATACAAATGACACACCTCATACTCAAGCAAGATGCAATTAATGAGACTTAAGTTTGTAATTTTATTTACCTATTTGTTTTGCTTTTCTATTTTTACTTTCATTTACGCGCATGCGTGGCCTCATTAATAATATTGACTAATACGCAATTAATAGGGTAATATAATGAAATGTTTTAACTTTAATTTTAACCGTAATTATCTTACTGCTGAATACAATGTCTTCAAATCCTTCTATCGGACGTAATTAAACTAAATGTATGGATGATGAAACCATGACGTCGACTAATCTATCGTATCAGTATATCGTATCGTATCAGAATAACCTATCAGTCGTAATCAGATTTTGAATTTGAATTATTTAAAAATATTCTATCTATCGATACCAATACTTGTGTACTTAAACCCCATCACTAAAGTTAGCGTCACCTTATACCAACATAACCAACGAATTGCACGAATCGTTTCCTATCTTTTAATTTTTATTTTTTTATATTAAAAGTAAATTTTATACAAATAGGAATCAAAATAAATTAATATATTTAATAACATTTTTTGAACTAGAGAAATAAATGTTGGGTTTGAATAACTCATGAAGGTTAATTTGACAGTTAATGAACATCCGCAACAATTTGGCAGGGGCAAGTTGATTCCAAAATGGTGGCCGTTTGTTGTGCTTTATATGATTTGTGAACAATTTTTATAATAAGTAAGTGTTATTATGGATTTGCCTTCACCATTTTTTTTTATTTTTAGAGATTAAATTAGTTTTATTTGTTACTTCAATTAATATTTCCATAAAATCGGCTTCGGATGACCTTTCGATTTTCATTACAAAGGAACTCGACTGACAGCCTTGTTGCAGCAATATCTCCTAAAAATACTCGTTTTATGTTTCAAATGCTGTATCATTAGTTGATATTTATATAGTTGCTTTATTTAATTCCTAAATATTTTGTGCTAAATACTTTCCAGTGTTCTTTAATCAAAATCGAAATAAGCGCGGGACGTGTGGCTTTGTAAGTGATTGGCGTCTTATAAGATGAATTATAGTTAAGCAATTTCTCCATAACACGGTTTATTGTTAATGCAGTGCCATTCACGTGCAATAGTAACTTAAAATAAATGAGTATGTTTATTTAGTGTCAAATGAAGCGAACTTACCCCTTAGCATCATAACCTAAAAAGTATTCCGCCGGGTGCGGCGACTATTATGAAAGAGAATTCTTGTTTAGTACTCTAATATGTCATTACGATGATTTCAGATGACCTTTGCCTGTTGAATTAAACAAGAAATTTCCAATTGGATTGGAATTATGGATGAAAAAGTGAGTTTGCCTGACAAACCGAGCGAAGATGTCACTCAAGCCTCTGGAGATACTGCAGCAGCTAAAGAGGCTGCTGCGGGAGATAATGAAGCTTCAGAAAGTGGTGACGCCGGTGCGGAAGCAATTGGTGACGCCACAGACTCCAGTAGTGACGTAAAAACGGATAGTGATGTAACAAAAAGTGCAACTGACCCTGGTGATGGTGATGGGGAGAGTGAGTTACAAAATCATGTTGACAATGACGCGGCCACTGAGAACAGCAGTAGTGTTAAAAGTGATATTGGTGACAGTAACATAGTAACAGACACAACTGATGCTGACAGTCAGGATACTAAGGATGAAGGTATGTTTTTGTTATTCAAAATTAAATTATTAAGTTGACCATCAAATCAATGAATTTCCTAATACTAAACTATATTTTAAATTTTGAAGCCAGTATATTCATCAATCTTATTGCAATTATTTAATAATATCTATAAATATAAGACATAATATGATTTAATAAATTGATTAGAACCTGATACTGTACATACAAGCACCCAGTATCAAATTTTTTATTATTTTTTCTTTATTCTTTTTCAATATTTTTTTTTATTTATACTTTGTTCCACACACAGAAAAAGTTAAATACATGTTAATTTTTGTAAAAATTCCATGTCTGAGTAATTGGCTACACACAATTTCACACGTTAAGTAATACACAAATAAATTAAGTACATAATTATAGTACTTGCGGGCAGAAGCTAGTATAGCTTCTGCCCGCGATTTCATATGCGCAATCCCGTTTTCTCCCGTTCCCGTTGTATTTTCGGGATTTTTTTTTGTCAAATAACCTTCTCCTGATAATTACAAACACAACAAAAAAATCTGCCAAATCGGTCTAGCCGTTCTCAGTTATGGCGGGACAACGGGAAACTGGTTTCATTTTTATATAATTATATAGATTAGCATCATTTACAGATTTTGAAATCATGTCAACATTATCATACATAGGAACAGTTAAGCTATTTATCTTAATAAATTTATTCCACATACTTGTAGAAACATTTAAATAGACTTGTCCTTTGGTCTGTCAATAAAAATATACAATACAGCTAGAATTGGAAACACTGTCTGTATGTTAAACTCTTCGGCATTGAATCTAAACTATTGGTCAATATTAAGTGCACACTTGAAAGTGTTTTTTTTAATAATACTATACTACAAGTCTGGTTATCATAGAAATACGAGTTACTAACTACTTCTGTAAGCTCCTTATCATCGTAGAGTGATGTTTGATAGCCTATAACAGGGACTGAAAGCGGTTAAGATATAACGTTATAGTACTGGTATAAAACAAGAATACTGAAATCAAGGCTGTAGCCTCCTTGTTTAAGCTTTATGCATTTTTGACACCGTAAATTTAGATTTGACCATAGTGGGACGTACGTAAAGCAAAAGGTGCAAGAAGCGTGATGTGAACATCTGTTTTTAACTCGTTGAGTACCGTCATTAGACACACAATTATAGAACAATAGGTTGCGGTCACCGGTGACCGCTTGGTGTTTGACAGTTTAATATTTGTGTTGGTGCGAAACCAAAGCAACTGGTAAAGCTGGGAGCCCGTTAGGACAATAAAATTAGGATACATGTATGAATGACCTTTATTATTTAGGTAAACGTACCAATACCGAAATATACTGGTTTCTATATTTTGATATACAAAAATAATGGTACAGAAACATTTCAGTAGCAAATAAGCCGTACCCTTTATTTATGGGTATGATTTTATACTGCAATTTAGAGGTTCCTTAAGTTTTCGGTTATTTAGTCCCTGGCCTATAACTCTACTTGATAAATGGACTATCCAACTCCAAAAGTGTTATATAATAATTTAATGTGCTATTAAGCTATTTATTATCTGTTTTCTTATTACTTAATCACTATGAGACATTATTAGCATGTTATACATCTTAAAGTATTGCAAAGACATACAATCATAACATAACAGTTGAACCACATTATTGACCATAAAACAAAAATCTAATAATATGTATCATTTAAAAAATTCATTATTATTCTTGCTTTTTGGCTATTGTAACTGTATTAATAAATTATTTACTTAGACTTCATATAATCACACATTCATTTTTTCTTCATCAAAGGTTTTAGATTTCCTTTTTTTTTGTGAAATTCATTCAAAATTCGTAGAAAAGCATTGTTATTGACATTTTAATGAAAGTATTGAATTTGACTTCTGGAAATTGTGGCAACAAGTTGCAGTTTTCACTGTGTGACCTTCACCTGTTATAAAAACCTGTTAGATCTGTTAGAACCACAACACTACAACATCGATGTACACTTGTTGTTATTTGTTGTGTCAAATATTATAAATTAACACATACTTTATATATAACGCTATAATACTATAATAATAATGAAATGAAAGATATTGGTTAGGTGTTTGCATTTTTGAAAATAATACTTTTATTATGATTTATTGCAAGATTTATAATAAATATTTTAAATATAGACCAAATACACAAAACATCCCCGAAGTGGTAGGCAGAGGTGCACATTACGGCACTTATTGCCAATGTACAATGTAACACCTATTTTTTCACTATTTATCTTATGAGTTCTATGTAATAGAGGGGAGCCTATTGCCATGTACCAGGCACAATTCCGGACTCCATGGTACTACTAAGATCTTTTTAAAAACCCAGTAATACTTTACCCGACCCGGGAATCGAATCCGAGACCCCTTGCCCGGCAGTCGCAATTGCGACCACTCGGCCAACGAGCCAGTCTACTAGTACCAAATAAACTCATGTACGAAATATTTCTGTTACAGTGGACTTAGCTGACAAAGTATTAGAAGAATCACAAGACAGTGAATTGAATGCAGACATAGTTGGAAAAGTAAAAGATGAATTACCACAAGAATCAACTTCACAAGATGAGCCAAGTCAAGAGTCAACCAGTCAAGACAATAGTGAAACAAATAGTCAAGTAAATCTTGAACCTACTGAAACAAGTCAGGAAAGCACAGAGGCAGCTACAGAAGATATACCTATAAAACCTGATGAAGAAGCTGAGAAAAATGAAAGTTCAATAAGTGTTGAAGAAAGCAGTGAAAGAGAGGCTGTTGAAAAAGAGGAGAAATGTGAGGAGACAAAAGAAGATGTATTAGATAATGATGACAAGAAAGACAATGATGAGGTTGGCAAGCCTGAGTTTGAGACTGCACCCAACGTTACTGTTGATGAATCACAGGAGGACCATACACAGGTAAAAAAGTTAATGTGGTTTTGTTAAATGACAGGCAAACTTTGTGGGTGTCTGGGAACAGTACAAAACGGGATTGTGCGTACGAAATAGCGTGCAAAAGCTAGTCTGTATATGAAAACAATAATAACTTAAGTATTTTATTCTGTGAGAACATGGTCTTTCGAAAACTACGGAAAAATGTAACATTCTACATTGACTCACGATTTTCTTCATAGTAGTAATATCATCAATGAATACCTAGGTAACTTATAATTGTTTAATAACTAAGCATGTTCGATGGTAAACAATCGGTATTGCCCATTGACACGCGCGACACCAGAGGAATTACAGGTGCGGTATTGCGCTTTAAGGAATAGGGAGCTCCATAGGCTCTGGCTCGAAGAGAAGAGCAGGAGTAAGAATGGGGTAGTTTTTAGTCAGTAAGATTCTGACACTTCCTCTTAGCCCAAGGCGGGGGAAGTCAGTCAGGAATTACTCCCTTTGAAAAAAAGGGGATAGGGAGATGGGGAACTGTGGAGAGTATTGGATCTGACAAAGTGAAACACAACGCAAGCGCGGTTCCAAAAGCTTAACTTTTCCACATGAATTTAAGATAATTTTACTGATTTTCCAGGCACTGGACCCCTTCGATGCTTTGCTCAAAGACACATCTGACTCTAGTCAAGCAAATGAAACAAAGGAAAAGTCAGATATTGCTGTCACAGTTAATATAGATGATGATGATGATGATCATAATGCTGATGATCACCATGGTGACGTTCATGAAGATGACGAGGACCATCATACCGGTAATATGGAAAATATTTCTTATTTTTCTATAGATACTCTCGCGCGGTTTCATCCGCTCTGCTCGGAACATATTGGTCGTAGCGTGAAGTTTTATAGCCTATACCTACCTCGATAAATACACTATTCAACACAAAAAGAATAATTCAAATAAGACCAGTAGATCCAAAGATCAGCATGTTCAAACAAACAAACTCTTAATCTTAAATAATAAGAATAATAGTAAAGATAAGGTATGAAATGAAGTATCTAAACCTATAGTTCATTTAAAGGTTACATTTATTTTTTGTTTCAACTTTTAGTAATAAGCAGCTGAAGAAATCGTCAACTGAAAGTAATGTTTTTAATTCTAGATCATCCTGATGAGGGAGGAGTGTCGGAGCTGGCAGATGAGCCCGGGGCTGATGAAGAAGTGTGTCTGCTGCCAGATATTGAACGGGAAATATCTGAAGCCGACAAGGCTGAAGCAGAGAAGGCTTTAGCTGAAAAGAGAAAGCAGGCAGAGGGTAAAAATGTTATTGTAATTTATTTGTCACAATAATAATCGTACAGGAACATAAGTACATGATAGCAAAATTTATCACTAAAATATTTGGTACCTTTTAATCAAGATATAGTATCTTGTTTACAGAAGCTGCAGCGGAGGCGGCAGCGATAGCGGCTGTACCCAAGAAAGAAACTGAAGTAGATGCTGAAGGAAGTAGAGATGACCATCTGAACAGCGAGGCCGTTGAAGAACACGCTGAAGCAGACGTAGCCAACGACGAGGCATCGCAGGAAAATGGCGGAGGTCAGTTGAAGGGACAATTTATGAAAATATATATTATTTATTATGACTTCAATAAAACCTTCCAATATTTTCCATTAACACACATTTTCAATAAGTAATAACTAAGTAGTATGTGAACTAACACACTTATTATTAATTTTACAGAGAAAGAAAATGAAAATGAACATGATGAATCTGTGGAAATTGACGATAGTGAGACTGAAATCCCACACATTATCCAGGAGATCAGCCCGTTTGACAGCACCTGTACGCAGTGTAAGGCTGAACAGCCTTGCACCTACCGATATACTACCAAGGAGAATGAAACTGCATACTTATGCTCAGAGGCATGCGTCAAAGACTTCCAAACCGAACATGCAGGGCAATATTCCATCACACACAAGAAGTACTTAATTGAAGAAATTGCGCCTAAAATCTTAACATGCTCAGAATGTGAAGAAAAAAAAACTTGTTACTTCTATTACAATTACGACGGCGAGGACACAAACTACTGCTCCATGACCTGTCTCAACAGTATGATGGCTGATGAAGCAGACAAATACGTGTTCAAGAGACGAAGGATAGTTGCAGAAGAAATAGCGCCTAAAGACGCCGAGTGCTATGTTTGCAATGTTCACAAAAGCTGCTCATACTCCCTGAATAGGTATGGTGAAAATCTTCTAGTGTGTGAAAATGCGTGCATAAAAACCCTAAACGGCAAAGAAAACGGTAGATATATGATTAAAAAGAAGAGAACTCCAAGAAAACAACCATCTACGCAGCCACAGAATCCTCCTTTGCTTAAATTAAAAGTTATTAGTAATGCAACAGACAAATATTTAGACGAAGCGTATAAGATACAAGCGAAGACGCCCGCGATGGTGCAAGCTGCGCGGGAAGAGAGAGAACGGTCTTTTATTCGGAAGTGTAACCAATGCCAAATTATTCTTAACATTGACGAAAAATTATTGACTTGGGAAACTATGGACTTTTGTGGTGAATTGTGTTTAGGACGGTATCAGAACAAAATTGGAGCTCGGTGCGCGAATTGTAAGAACAATGTGCAACACACTAGTTTAGGGAAATATTGCGTCCGATTTGGTTTCGACATCCGGCAATTTTGTAACTGGTCATGTTTAGAAGAGTTTAAGAAAGGGTTGAAGATATGTTGTTACTGTCAAAGAGATATATCAGTGGGTCATCAAGGTTTTCTGGCACCCGTCGGTGATAAAGGACAGTTTAAAGACTTTTGTTCACAAGCTTGTATGGAGAAATTTGACCTGATGAGCAAAAACCCGATACCTCAACCAGTGTGGGCGAAGTGTGCAGTGTGTTCCTTAGAAAAAGCAACTTCGATTGAAGTGGAAGTGAGTGAAGAATTATCACAAAGGTTGTGTTCAGATCCCTGTTTCGCAGCATTTAAATTTGTAAACAATATCTTCCCAGGTGAGTATTATAAATAATAACGCTTTCATTTTATGGACAGAAACATAGGTCCCCTACCTAAACTAATTCTGTTTCTTTTTGTTTACAGATCAATGTCGTTGGTGCAAAAAATACTTTGAAAGGAAGCAGAGTAAATGTTTTACAATCTACGAAGGTGTAAACGCCCACTGTTTCTGCTCAAAGTCATGTATGAATGTTTATATCAGTAATTCTAGGCATATAGTGCCTTGTAACTGGTGTAAGGTGAAGAAATACAATTTCGACATGATAAGGCGGGTCCAAACAAATGGTCAGGCCATTATGGTGTGCTCACTCAACTGTTTGAATCTCTACCAAGTTTCCGTTAATGCTGTGTCTTCCAGAAGGTAAGAATTATAATTTTTTGAACTATATCTGTCCAGGTTAAAGTAGGATGTAGTTCCCTCTTAGTAGTTAACCTCTTTCCTCTGCAGTTTTCATTAAGTGCTCATCGATTAGCGCCACTGTATCTTTATATCACACTCGAATGTATTTAACAAATATTTCGTATAAAGCATAGTTTTTATTACTTATGTTGCTAATCTCATGGCGCAAAAATGGCCGTTGTAGTACTGATTCAAATACTGAATATCTATATAAAGAAAATTAACATTCCAATCAATAATATTTATACACATTCTTGCCAATACTATGATGATATTACTAAAATAATGTTTTTTTTTATTTACAGAACAAAATGTGATATGTGCAAGAGAACATCGTTAGCGCAGTACCACTTAACAATGTCCGATGCCACAGTGAGGAATTTCTGTTCATACCAGTGCGTCATGACATTCCAGGTTAGTCCTATGTAAGATGAGGATCAAAGCTTACATTAATAACGACTTTAGATACATTATAATGAGTGTGCGTTACCCAGGCCAGATGTTGTCAAAAATGGTCATTTGAATCTTATACCTAATTAGTTCGCGATCTCATGGCGGAATGGCAGCAACGACTGTTGCAACCGAGGGCTGGGCTCGCTGCCATTGCAGCGGTAAGTCCCCTCTTTGAGGAGTGGCATGAGAGACGCTACGGCGTCCTCACCTACCGCCTGACGCAGGTCCTCAACGGACATGGAAGTGACCTCTCGCGTCCGGGCCTAGTGCAAGCCATGATGCGGAGCGAGGGGGACTGTAATGCCGTCTCCTCCTTTTGCGAAGCAGTCATGCTAGCTAAGGAGGAGGCGGGACGCGTGAGGCAGCGAAGCGCTGCCTCCTCACAACCCAGCCATCGCAAAGGACACCGGGCATCGGGGATCGCAGGACGATCTCCGGCCACCGTTAAGGCCCGCGCGCCTGCGGACGGCGAGCATGGGTGGCACCCCGTCCGACCAGAAACAAACCCGAGCGTACGGCGCGTCGCGTTCCGCGCGCGCCTCAAAGAGCCATTAGGCCACCACAGATGGGGCCCAACAGGGCCGATGCCGATTCGGAGTCGCGGAGAACCTAACGGGTAACTGGGGCTTCGGCTCGACGTGCAAGAATGGGGTGGTTTTCAGCCAGTAAGAGTCTGACACTCCCTCCCGCCTCACCCAAGCGGGAGCTGTCAGTCGATGATTTTCACCCCTCAAAAAAAAACCCTAATAGGGTATTACAGTCTATTTCAAAAAGTGTTTTAATTTAATCTGTTATTGATAAAATACCACAAAAAATATAAATACATTTTTTTTATTCCAATTATTTCATAAAAACGTGTTTTAATTTTACAATTCAAATTTGGGCGCGAAAACGCCAATTCTCAGGCCGCCATGTCTGTGACGTCACGGGCATTGTAAACATTACGCTTCGCTGAAAGAAATAAACATATTTTCGAAATAAATAATGAGTTCTAGTGGTTATAGTCCTTATCATTGGTGTCTTGTGTCTGAATGTAAGAATACAAGTGTTAAAACACCGGAAAAGTTATGGATACAAGTGCCAACAGATTTAAAAATGAGAAATACGTGGTTGAAATTAGCACGAAGAGATCCAAAGTCATTGTCCACAAAAACGAAATACTATTTTTGTGAGGATCATTTCAATGTTTGTAGTAGGTATATTAATACTTACATAGATGTTTTGACATTTCTTAATTCCGCAGAACAGAAGTCGGGATTGCAAGCGAAGAATTTCGCCACCATCAATGTATTTATTCGTGGAAGATTAGTACTTTCTGCTTTTACAAAGCCGTCTTCCATGGTCAATATATATAGTATAGGTGCAGAATATCAAGAAACGTGGTAGTAATAACTGAGAAACTTCGTTAATCTAATAAATTACACAGTAGACATGTACAACAAAAACCGAGGTTGTTTATTTACAAGTCCAGTGACGTCACAGCGAATGCAAACATGGCGTACAGCGTTTTTGACATTCGAAGCACAGATAAAAAAACTTGTATTTTCAAATTGAAATATTTAATTTATTTTGCAGTTTTATGAATAGAAATTAATATTTTTCGTTTGTTTTTTCATAAATAAACTATAAAAACATAAATTTAGATTTTATTTTTCATAGTGCGTAATACCCTATTAGTTGTGCGGCTTCTGCACTTGTTGAGCACATTTTTAAATTATATAGTTGTAGTTTTTTAATTATTTCACAAAAACATTTCCTGCTGGGGTAACGTTACCCAAGCCATGAGCCAGACCTTTTTGCGTTGTAATGGGAATATTTAAATAATTACTAGCTATAAAATTTGTTGTCTAGATGAAGTAAATGTTGTGCCTTATTTTGTATTTGTTCTTTCATCGTTTGTGAAGTTATTCGAGATGTTGCTGGGGTAACGTTTTTGATTTTGCAAATCTTTGAAATGGTTAAGCGGATTCTTATCATATTTTGCACATGACTTCTTAGAAATTAGTTTATATTTGTTGTGCAATAAAAAACCAAAATAATGCATAGCTTAAAAGTTAATCCATTAAATATAAAAACACTTCAATTGGTCCTAGCGCTCTCAATTATAGCTCTAAAGACTTACTTTAAACGTTATTTTAAAGCTTGTAACTGCCTTCAAATGTATGTGAGGTTTCATTAGTATCCTGTAAGTATTGAACAAGTTATGATGATATTGAGTTCTTCACTAGCACGGTCTTGATGCGCGCGGTGTTATTTGGCCACTGGATTGGATATATGAAGTGAATGTTATGCCAATAATTAGTTGTTTAGTTCAGTTGTATATCAGTAAAATTTCAGTTTAGTACATCGGATAATTAATGAGATAATACGATTAAAGTCATTAGAAAGAGAATGACTGTGGTAACCCGACCAAGTTTAAGTGGTTACGAAAAAGCGAAAACGCAGAACATTGTGGTACTTTCTAAAATATGTAGGATAGTAATATAACTAATCATCTATAAGATTCAAATGACCATTTTCGACAACATCTGGCCTGGGTAACGCACACTTATAATGATAAATCCTCTTTTATCATCCTTCTTAGTTCATAATATCATCGGCATGTTTCTTAACTTTCTTATATGAAGGGACTTTTATGTCAAATTTTATCTAATGTTTAGACATCTCAGATATTTAACATGTATTTTCACACTGTATAGGGTCAATACTCAAAGCATGCGCCTCCGTTAATACCAGGCGAGGCCATCGACCAACAGAAAGCGGTACCCACGGGAGCGCCCAGGCGGACGTACCCAGCTGCTAATAAAGGTGAGGATTTACTGTATTATTTGTAACTTAAAATTCTATCTATCGAATTACAATTACCGACTGTACGACAACCGCTGCAGCGGTGTGACCAGCAGCCGCGCGGTGTGATTTACACCGTTAGTAAATAAGCTTATACCTTGCATGACGGAAATTAGTTACCGAAACCAACTTATTGGTTATTATCTGCGTCAACCGTAATTGTGGCCATTATAATACGAGAGACATGTTACCAGAAACGCAGAAATCTTCTTCACGGCATAATTATGTATTTCTCTTTACAGCTGTCAAAGGCCAGCAGCGGGCAGGCGGTATGCCAGTGATCTCAAACGTCCAATCCTTAGCAGCTCCACCTCCGCTCATGCCGTCTATGACGCGACAGAAATCCAAACGCTTACAACAACCCATACCAGAGCCCGAGCCCCCCGCAGCGCCCATTACACCCCCTCCCCCTCCCAAACCCCCTACCCCACCACCACCCCCACCTCCCAAAATCTACAACCATGTAATAGTTAAAACTTTACCCCCACGAGAAATAGCCAATAAGGCAACTATGACAAAGCCTATGATGGTATCAAAAGGCGTGTCATGTAGACCTCATCCGTGCACAAAGGAATGTCAGACGGATCCTAGTTTAGAACGACGTGTACTTATTCCTGTTCCCGTCCCTATCTACGTCCCTGTACCTTGTGCTATGTGGTCCCTTCCCTTCCCAGTTCCAGTCCCTATTCCTATACCTATCCCAACACCAGTCTTTATTCCTACAACTAGAAATTCAGCTAAAGGTATCATGAAGGAGATAAATAAAATCCACGATAAGATGCCGACAGATCCGTTCGAAGCCGAATTGCTGATGATGGCAGAAATGGTGGCTGGTGACAAGAAAAAAGATCAGAGTGACTCTGATACTGATGATGAGAATGGTATGTTGTAGTGATACTATTTCATTTTAATTTGATGAGTTTGACACAAAGTCTTAGCGCCGTGTGCGTTACCCAGGCCATATGTTTTCGAAAATGGTCATTTGAATCTTATAGATAATTAGTTGTGTTGCTTCTGTAATTGTTGCGCACATTTTTAAATTTGTGGCGCTTATAGTTTTTTAATTATTTCACAAAAACATTTCCTGCTGGGATAACGTTACCCCAGCCAGACCTTTTTTTTAATGGGAATATTTAAATAATTATTAGCTATATAATTAGTTGCCTAGATGAAATAAATGTTGTGCCTTATTTTGTATTTGTTCTTTCATCGGTTGCGAAGTTATTCGAGATTTTGCTGGGGTAACGTATTTGATTTTCCTAGATCTTTGAAATGGTTAAGAAAGAACAAATACAAAACAATGCACAATTTTATAGCTAGTAATTATTTAAATTTTAATATTCCTATTAGATAGAAAAAGATCTGGCTGGGGTAACGTTACCCCAGCAGGAATTTTTTTTTGTGAAATTATTAAAAAACTATAAGCGCACAAAAAATTTGTGCAACAATTACAGAAGCCGCACAACTAACTAGCTAATCTATAAGATTCAAATGATCATTTTCGACAACATCTGGCCTGGGTAACGCATACCTTAGCGCCTGGTTCACCATGGTCTAGTACCTGATAAACCTATGTGACAGATTGTTCATACAAAATACATTCTTAATTCAAATATATCTAGTACACAATGGCTATCCGGACAATGTGAAATGTCTTTTTGTCCTAGTCCTAAATGTTAAACACACGAGATAATAAGTAATCTGCTAATCAAGAACCTCATTTGTTGGTATGTCCTCATGAGTCTATTGATATAGTATTACTGCTAACCACTTTATGCTATCTTAAAACGTACCAAAGTTTTAAAACACTAGCATGGCTCTCGGTAGTCTCAGTATTGCGTCGTTATGCCCGGAAAAATATGAGGTTTTGGGGAGTAACATTGATATCCACATTATTTTGTACTTCAAATAAGCGAACGCGCAAAATATAAAAAATGAGTAATATCAAAAGACATGGAATCTGGATTGGATTGTCATGTATGAACATCAGTGATAAAATTTCCTGAATAAACATACTATAACAATATAAAAAACTAACTAAAAATCGCGGGTTACTCACGTGAATATACTGAGAAAAGCTCTAGGTACTAGTTTCTAGCCTAGCCTACAGAAGGCTGCGCGACATCGCCGCGACCGCGCACGCTGCTCATGTGGAAGAACTCCTCTGTGGTTCGAAACTACTAGAGCTTTTCTCAGTATAATTACGTAAAAAAATAAAAATAATATATTTTTATTTACAGAGGAAACCTTTAGTCCTGTGGCGGGTATGGACGGTAACAATGCCTTTGGCGAAGACATGCTGCAGATGGCATTGAAAATGGCGACGGAGTACGAAGATCAACCTGTAGACCTTGAATCTGCTATGACGGCGAATACTATCACGCCCAGCTCTCATCCTGGCATGCCTGGTGAGTATTACACTGTAAATTCAATTTTCAGATTTAATAATGTTTGATTATACAAGTATTTTAGTACTTTACTAATATGGAAGTTATGTCATACAAGAATATTATATGAACTTAATTAAAATTTTATGATCCAGCTTGGAGTAGAATGGTCAGCTTTATTAAGTACTGTAACCTTTATAAAAACACTCACTTACATTTTACATTTTTGATCACAATGTATTTAATAAACAATGTTTTGTTAATGGTTACTGTTTATTATAAAATAGCTATTTTAGCAGTAAATTATTTAGGTGTGTTTCCTTTCATTATGTCTGTTGGACAATTTAAGGATGACATTGTTACCGTTATGTTACGGTCTTTCTAATTTTTACTTCCTTATGCCGTAGTGGTCGAATATGTTTATTTACTTACAGTTTTAGTGTTCTAATAACAAAAAATACGGTAAGTAATAGTTTAATTAAAAGATATAAATGTGTTGATTGTGCCACTAAGTGTATATTTTGCATACTTTGTTAGGTTTGGAGGGTGAGAGCATGCACCATCACCACATGATGGTGCTGGAGCAGCAGCGCGCGGTGGCGGCACTCCGCGCGTCGGCGGCGCCCCGCAAGCGCGCCCCCGCGCCCCCGCCCGCGGCGCGCCCCGCTCGCACGTCCAAGCGGCGCCGCGCCGAGCCGCCGCCCGCGCCGCTGCCCGACCCGCCGCGGGAGCCGGCCGAGAAACCCGACGCCAACATGTGCCTCAAGGTGACTAGAGGGTCCGACGTGACCGCTGTATAATACCATTTGGGTCTTGGGTCTGCGGCGACTCATTGTGTCTTATTGCTCCAGTACACGTTCGGCGTCAACGCGTGGAAGCAGTGGGTGATGACGAAGAACGCGGAGATCGAGAAGAGCTCGATACGACGGAAGCCGTTCAAGTCCGAGATATTGCAGCTCACGGCGGATGAACTCAACTACTCGCTGTGTCTGTTTGTGAAGGAAGTGCGGAAACCAAACGGCAGCGAATACGCCCCCGACACTATTTATTATTTAGTTTTAGGTAAGCTACTTTTACTGTTTCTTAAACATGTCGTTACAGCAGTTATGAATGCTAAACATGATGACCTCGATTCTATTTTCAGATCAAAATAACCTTTTCAATTTTAAGAACACAAAATAATACATTGATTTTAACATATTAATAATTAATACCTTTTTACCAGACTACCTAAAAGTAAGCATATTGTATATCTTCCAGAAATTCGCTTGTTTGCTAATCTTTAAACATAGTTATTTAATACATTTTCAGGTATACAACAATATTTGTTCGAAAACGGTAGGATAGACAATATATTTACGGATCCATATTACGAGAAATTCACCGATTGTTTAGACGAAGTCGCGAGGAAGTTCTCAGTTTTATACAATGACTCCCGTAAGTATTAATAATGTCTTTATTATTTGCATACTATTTTTATTCACAACAATTCACAGTTCTATTGAAGAAATCTCCGCTAGTTCTTCGATTATGTCTCCTCATACTAACACTTTGTTATAATTCCAGAATACATAGTCACTCGAGTGGAAGAGGAGCATTTATGGGAGAGTAAACAACTGGGCGCCCACTCCCCGCACGTCCTGCTCTCCACGCTAATGTTCTTCAACACTAAACATTTCAATTTAGTGGTATGTTTCACATAGATCAACATTCCCATTCACAATTTAGTATTCTTATCATTTGATGAATGAATAACGGAAACACCTACTTGCATTACATGTTTTTTCTCTGCTACAATGGAATGTCTGAATGGATCTTTTGAATTCTGAATGGATTTTTATGCTGTTTTAAATTAAGATTCAGTGGTTTTTCAATACAGTGCAGATGAAATATGGCATCTACTCTTCTATTACAGACTGTAGAGGAACATATGCAATTATCTTTCTCTCACATAATGAAGCATTGGAAGAGGAATCCTAACCAGCCAGGGCAGGCCAAGATACCTGGCTCAAGGAATGTTTTACTAAGATTTTATCCTCCACAATCCGCCTTAGGTCAGTACCACAAATATTTTGTTACTACATTACTAACTCATCACGCGACTCATATCTGTGTGTGTTACTAGTTAGAAACATCTAGCTAGTGATACAAACACAACTTTTGTTGAGTTTACAATAAAAACTAATTTTAGCTTTACATTAAGAAAATTTACAAATTTTTGAATAAGTTTTTAGTTTCACTGCCTCATTGCCAAATAGTCGCAAGTGCGACTGCCGAACCTGGTGCCCGGTATATGCCAATATGCTCACCCCCTATTACATGGGACTCATAACATAAATAGTGAAAAGTGGGTGTTACATTGTACATAAGCATTAAGTGCCTCTGCCTACCCCTTCGGGGATAAAAGGCGTAATGCTATGTTATGTATTTCGCTAGTATGAAGATTCAAATTAATGATCAGTTTTGAAAACTACCCGTATTTGTTAAGTTTACTTTTTCTTATCCGGAAATAATAATTCAATTTTGAACAATGGCTTTTATCTGTTTGTAGAAGCAAATTCAAGAAAGAAAAAGGTGTACGAACAACAAGAAAATGAAGAGAATCCTTTGAGGTGTCCGGTCAAACTTTACGAGTTCTATATTTCTAAATGGTATGTTAAATTTTTCCTTCAGTCACATTTTATTATAATTATTTTATGGTCGTGATTATAAAATCATGATTAAATAGGTAATAATAAGCTTAACATAAAAATAAGTATGCGTTACCCAGGCCAGATGTTGTCGAACGTTACCCCAGCCATGGGAATATTTAAATAAATTACTAGCTATAAAATTAGTTGTCAATAAGTGAAGTAAATGTTGTGCCTTATTTTGTATTTGTTCTTTCATCGATTGCGAAGTTATTCGAGATTTTGTTGGGGTAACGTTTTTGGTTTTGCTAGATCTTTGAAATGGTTAAGCTGATTTTTATTATATTATTATTATATACAACTGAACTAAACAACAAATTTTGACATAACATTCAGTTCATATATCCAATCCAGTGGCTAAATAACACCGCACGCATCAAGACCGTACTCGTGAAGAACTCAATATCATCATAACTTGTTAAAT